GCCGGACGATGGCATCGTTCACGTCCATGCTGATCACCAGCTCGTCCCTGTACGGTGCCGGTGACATTGGCAGATCAGCGGGGCCGAAGGTAATCGCCTCGATCTTATTGCGCTTGGTGGGGGGTGCTGATACGGAACCCACATACAGTGATCTCTCAAATTTTTTCCGTTCGGCGGGTGTATCTCCCGTCTCAGCGCCCCCGAAGATCACCTTGATCTCCAACTTCTTCTTCTTGCCCTTTGGGCCGAGGGATCCCTCCGGACGTTTATCTGCACTCCGATAATCCACGTCCTGAGGTTCCGCCTCGCGCCGATCGTCGCGGCGCCATGTCTTGTGCCTTGGGGTCGGCTTCTGCTGACTGTTTTTGTTCAGCAGCTGGGTGAATTCGCCCAAGTACCCCTGACGGATCAGCTCGTCGATCGCCTTCTTTAACTGGCTGCAGTTGTCCGTCAGGTGGCCGATCCTCTGATGGTACTCACAGTAGGCCGATTGGTCAAGCCCCATATACTTCTTCATATCTTGAGGTTCCGTCAGGAGGCCCTTGTCCTTGATGGCCTCGAAGATCTGGCTCACTGGATATGCCAATGGTATATAGCGGTCGTCCGGCCGCGTCTGGTTGTCTCCGGGGGGAGCCTTCCATGGGATCATCGCCCCGTCCAACCTCTTCTTCTTGTTTGGGGGTGAGGGCCCGGGTCCCGGTTTAGGTCCGAGCCTGTCCGCCATCTTCCTAGGCTGGGCCGCGGGAACTCCGTCCCGCTGCCTGATCTCCTCCTCAATGGAGGCATATTTTTGTGCCCGAGCCAAGACCTCGGTGTAGTTGGTGCCGGGATTCCTCCTCAGGTCCCGGTACAGATCCCCTGTGGCCAGCGCACTGGTGAACATGTTGGTGGCCAGACGTTCGTCCAGATCGTCAACCTGCAGGACCTCGTCCCTCCACCTTACCAGGAACCTAGCCAGCGGTTCGTCCCGCCCTTGTTTGATGTGGGCGAGAGCCGTGACGTCCTTCCTGGGGGTAGTACTGGCAGCAAACTGTGCCATGAACTGCCGGGAAAGTTGTTCGTATGAATCAATGGTGCCTGGCCTCAACTGGCCGAACCATTCCTGAGCTGGCCCCCTGAGGGTGCTGAAGAACAATCTGCAGATGGCCTCGTCCGACGCTCCCAGCATGGACAGGTTCCCTTGGTAGCTTATCAGATGGGCCTTAGGATCACCAGCCCCATTATACACCAAGTTCCCCGGGGGTCTGCAATCCCGGGGAATCTCGACGCTCATCACCCGTGGAGTAAAAGGTGATGTGAGAGAGAAGGAGGGTGTGGCCGAGCCGACGTCCGCCCGCCTATTCATCTCGGCTATCTGCCTCTCCATGGCTTCCAGCCGTGCGTCCTGTGCGGCCCTTCCGGGGGACACAGGGGGCGCGGCTTCGGGGGTGGCGTTCTGCTGAGCGGCCACAACATCGTGCGGCCGCCTGAAGATCTGCGCACCTCGCCGTTGGAAACGTCGTCCAACGGTGTTGACCCTTGGGGTCTCGTCTCCCCGCGGAATCTGGCGAGGAACTGATGGTGTGAGAGCCCTGGATGCAGCGATGCTGTCCCTGGTTCGCCCTCCCGTTTCACGGGAGCCTGAACCCCCACCTAGCCGCTCGTGGACGGAGGGCCGGTGGTCGCTGGAGCCTGTCGTATCATCGTACGACTGCATGCGGCGTATGGGAGAGAGGGGCGTTCGCTGGGTGCTTGCAGAGTACACCCGGTCCCGGGCCTCCCGTTCGTCTGCCAAGCGACGCATGGTGTCTGCGAGTTCCCGCATGAGGTGGGGATCCTGCCTGGCCTCCAGGGGAATGAGGTCAGTGATGCCCCCATTTCCTCCAGAAGTCCACATAGTCGCGGATAGTTCCGAGTTCTGGCCGCGGTTCCGGCGGCTCGACTCCAGACGCTCGGAGAGATCACGCTGGTTGTTGCTTCCTGACATCGTGTTTGCTGTAGGTAGACTTAGTAGCTGTTTGGGAGAGTTTCCAGAAACTTTTTGCTCAGTTTCCCACAGACGGCGCCAGTGTTGAGGTTTATTCCTTCAACCCGTGGACCCAACACGTAAGCCCAAAGGTTTCGAGTGGAGTGAGTGTATGAATGTCTAGCCCAACAACTATCAGATGGATCAGGAGACAAAAGTAATAGCAGGCAATGTAAATAGGTATTATTAACTTCGTAATAACTCCCCTAAATACAACCTACTTGCTAAAAGGGCACGTCGGCCGTTCGTCTTACAAGGCAGTTAGAAATGCTCAGGTAAGAATGCTGGAGCTAGTATGCTAAGAATAGTAAGTTGCCAACCCTTTACAATGAAATAAATGCTTCTATTTATACCCGCCAATGGGCAGGTAGCTGTACTGACGTGGCAGCCTGTGGACCGCTGGTGTCCCAACTACCAAATCTTTAGCATTAAATGCACTTCCCGCCAGAATCTAGGTTTCCCGCCGGATCAGTGGGGACGTTCGTCCACCCGGGAAGTGAGTTGGATTGCTCCAAGTGACCCTTGAGGGATATTGGCCGTTCGTCACCATGTGCACTGGGTTTTCTCCGATGACTACATGCTTGCTCTGGGGACGTTCGTCGCCATCCCTGGTGGCCCGTGGCTCTGCTCCTTGTCCCTGCATAGACGTTCGTCGGAATGAGCTGCTGGGCCTGAGTCCTCCAACACCAGACGTTCGTCCATCCTTAAAGAACATGGGCCTGTGGGCTGGCCTAGTTTCTAGCTGGACGCTCGTCTGGCAAAATGGGTTAGTGGGCCGGACCTCGGCTTGGGCCCTTAACCCAACATGTTCGAAAGATTCAACCCATGCAAGGTCAGGGTCTCACAAAATTGAAATTAATTATTTAATAAGTCATTTCACATTATGGATAATGTTACTAGAGCTCTGATTGAAATGCTTTTATCCTAATTGAGTAATTGACCGCTTGAATGCGATCTTGTTGTCTAGTAAAGATTCAACACCAAATCCTCCTAAGGATGGACCGGGCCCAAGTTGACCGGCCCGTTGACCGGCCCGTTGACCGACCCGGCCCGGTACTATGTAGTACCGGCCCGACCCACCAACCGGGATAGGGACCAGGTCAACCGGCACGATGAAGGGTGTTTACAGGGCGGGCTCCGGGTGCAAGGAAATGGGGACCAGCCCGGCCGGTCTGGTTCGGGCTTTTTATTTTTATTTTTGATTTTTTGGGTTTGGGCCTTGATAGGTGGGCTGGGTGTTTTGGCAGGGTTTGGGAATGGGGTGGGTGGGGGGGGATAAGAATAGGGGTAATTCTATTGGCACACCCCAAATTGCTATCTGCAGCCCCTAAATAATTCTAATGCCTAAGTTACCCTTACATCTATTCACGTGACCTTTTATTCGCTCACACTTATGCCACTATGTCCTCCACGAATTGAAGAAGGCATCCTGTCACAACAAAGAAGATCAGTATGCCAAGCTCCGTGAGAAGCAGAATTGAACATCGATGACCTCATCATGAACGTAGGTGGTTGTGTTGGTGGTGGTACGGTTGTCGATGATGCCCTGTCCTTTGGTGCCGCCGCTACTGCTCCAAACGCTAAAGAAAAGGTCTTTGAAGGAAGAGAGTAAAGAGAAATACAGGATGTGCTTGCTTGATGATTAGTCTGAAATTTCTTGGAAATGTTAACTTTTGATTTGCAGACAATTTTGATAATTTTATCATACCCATATCTCGTAGGGAGAATTTATGAACCCTCTTATCATTGAAATATCTATTAAAATCTAAGTGAATGTATATTTTAATGCCTAAAGTAACCTACGTATAAATATATAAGAGGCCTTTGAGATCTTCCGTGTGTTCACACTCTGAGGTGGAAGGTGCTTTTCTCCCAGGTCGCAATCCCATGCGTGATGAAGATCGACTGGACACAGAGGGTGGCAATCTGATTTGGGTTATTTTCTCCTGGATCCCCGCTCGTGCCGGATCCAGAAAGCTTTACCTTCACGGATCCTGTCTGGCGTTCGGCTTTTCTCCAGCAACAAAGAGATGAAGTTAGACTATGCTCTCTCGCTGGCAGAAGCTATGTGAAGGAGCTGAAAGGGACAATGCTAATTTTTTCATTAAAAGGACATAACTAGAATGAAATAATAATTGTGGCTGTATTTAGTAAACATGGGGCTGTATTTAGAATTGGCCTAAGAATAGCTATAAAAAAATTTAGAATTGGCCCGACCACAAAAAGTTTTGTCCCGATTTGGACCGGCCCGGAGCCCGGCCCAGTACCGGTCCATGCCTACATCCTCCTCTCCACAAAAGATTGTGAAAATTATGCAAATGAGAGAAAAAAACATTCTAAATCTACTGCTTTAAAAGGAAGACAATCTTTTAGTACCATAGGTCGATAGTACTCCGTACTAGGCCTGGACTCAGGCCGGGCGGCCCGACCCGGAACCGGCCCGGCCCGCCCACTGTAGCAACCGGCCCGGCCCGGTCCACCGGCGGTTCGGGTCGAACTGGCCTGGTGGTTCCCGGTTCCGGGCCCGGGCCTTCCATATGGTGAACCGGCCCGGCCGGATCGGGCCCGGTCCGGGCCGGAAATAATTTTTTTTTATTTGAAAATTTTTTATGTTTTGGGTTAGATTAGGTATTTTGGTTCATTTGAGGTGGTTTGGGGTTGAGAAAGAGGGGTAGGGGATTAAATAAAGAAGCCAAAAAAAAAAAAATAGGGCGGGTGGCCCGGCTCGGAACCGGCCCGGTCTGGCCCGGAACCGGCCACCCCCGGTTCGGGCTCGGGCCTCCATATTCTGAACCGAGGCCCGGCCGGGCCCAGGCCCGAGGCCCGAACCGGCCCGGTTCAGTCCACCCCTACTCCGTACAACATAAGAGACCAAACTCAGCATTCGAGTTGGCATGGGTTCTGGACTTCTAGGTAATGCCAGTTGAGCCAAATACCCAAAATTAAATTCTTAACTGAATTTGTTTGTAACGAAGAGGCAAAATTGACACAGATATTACAAAAAATAAGAAAAATTGAGATACTATTTCCGGAATTGATTTCACCGCAACGTTATGCACATGTGGCTCAAGAAACTGAAAGTAGTAAAAAAAAAAGGATGACACCCCATCCCTGAGGGCCCCCCAACACCGACCGGACGGCACGATGGGAGGATGTAAATTGGACTATAACCACAATCTGACAGATAGAGAGTGGGGCTCTGTCCCCGGTACTTGCAGAAGCCCTATGCATTTTTCAGCATAGTAACCCCTCATCGCAGTTGCCGGGATTCGAACCCGAGACCTAACCCTTGTGGCACTCCCTCGCTACCAGTTGAGCTACGCCCACCGGTGAAACTGAAAGTAGTAGATTCCATTTACAGGACCTCTTGGTGGCTCCTCCCCTTCTAATTTCAAGTCTAAATAATACTCCGTAAACACAAATACTTAAGTATGTATCTATTTCTCTGCATGTCTTCACTCTATATACCCAAAATCAAATAAAATAGAATAAAACAAAACAAAATAAATATAAAAGTTACAAGCTTGCAGCTCTTGACGCAACCTCATAGCCACCATCCCTGTGGACCATGTCTCCTCCCTTTAGTTGTTCGCTCTTTTCCTGAAAATGAATATAATACATAGCCTCATGATATGCAGCCAACCAAGCTCTATTTGGTGAGGGAGGGTGTATGACATAGAGTTTTGTAATACGGAGTATCCAACAGAAATGATGTACTCCACCACCAAGGGTCTCTTGTATCCAGCCCTACACTTAAGAGGGATGCAAACTAGGTAGCTCAAGCGTGGGATTCGATCCCCGGACTTGATACTAATATCCGAGTTTTTACAGTCACATCCCTGGCTGATCGCTTGAGCTATCCCTGGGGAAATGTCTGGAATTATACAAAAAACGTACTGTTCTATAAGTTGATTCCATCGCTGAAGAAAAACTCTCCAATCCAGAATTGCCACGAATAATTTTGGCTCCAGCTACAGGGGTGTCAGCCGATCCAACTGCCTCTTCATCAACCAAGACCATATCAGCACAATTTCCTGGTTTGGCATCTGGAACCTGTCGACAAAGAAAATCATCTCCCACTAAGGGTTTGTTTGGATGAGTGTTTTGGGCTTAGGTGATCCCTTCACTTTTATTTTCTTTTTCGCTTATTACTAATTCTTATGTCAATCAGATCATAATAGAGATCAGAAACATTCAAACCAAACCAAGTCACAAATATTTTAACAAGGCAAGACAGATGCAGACCTGGCTATCCAATCAGCAGCAGGATAATTCAAAAAAAAAGGATTTGAATCATTGATACCAGACCAGAGAGATTCATGCCAAACCAGATCTTAATAATTCAAATCAAGACAAATTTTTCCAAGTGAAGAGAACATGTCATCAGTCTGTTTTGTTTTAAATTTGAAATTTTATACTAGTTGAACAGGGATTAGTCAGTTTCAAGGTTCTTCACATTAATCAAAACATATTACAATCCCCCATCAAAGCAAGCTAAGATTTACTAGGTAGAAGCTAACTGAGGTAAGGACTTCAGATTGTCAGGTATTTCGAGTAGTAGATATGTATGATGACTTCTTCAAATATAAATTCAGATTGTCAGGAATTTTGAGTAGATGATATTTGTAATGACTTCTTCAAACATAAAGTTTCACGAACTTATGAAAGCTCATTCGTACCTCAAACATAGCTTCGGTCAGGATACTTTCTAAGATGGATCTTAAACCACGTGCACCGGTGTTTTTCACTATCGCTTTTGATGCAATCTTTTTCAATGCATTATCAGTAAAATGAAGCTTGACCTGTAAAACATGGAATCCCACTTCTTTCAAGAATATACTAACTTTTTTGTTTTTCACCCAAAGGGAAACATATCTCTCAATTCTGGAAAAAAGAGACCCATAACTGAAATGCAATGTGGCTTTTAAATATGTAGCAACTGGAAACAGCTTACATTATTCAGCTCAAACATTCTCTTGTACTGTTTGCAGAGAGCATTTTTAGGCCCCGTAAGAACCTGCAACCAAGAATATTATTCATTCCCTCCTAAAGAGAGACAAGGAAAAAGTAAGCAGACTAGAATGGCCCTAGATGCTTGGTTATGATAAACTTTCTTCTACTTCTAACCCTTCTTCCTCTTCCCTAGTTCAGGTGTAAAGCTACAAAAATATTCTCCCTCCACCCCACAAAGATAGTCCACTACCTTTTGCCCAGAGTTTAAGAAATGATTGTTAAGTCAGTTGGAAGAAGTAATTTTATATGCAATTCTCATCATTACTCTTTATAGAGCTGACAATTTCCTATGTAGGATTCAACTTTAATGTGGATGACTAGGTAGGTTTAAACTTATAAATAACATTAAATGCACACCCAATAAAGAAATTGAACAGCTTTTGTGGGATGAAGGGAGAGATGTACAAACATAGATGACTCCAACTATGGGAATAGGCAAGGTTCCACAATCATCCTTACCCTTAAAAATGTCTGCTATGTTCCAAACAGTCCATTTGATCTTTTATCTATCAGCAAGAGTACTCGCTCTCTCAATTGTTTTATAGCCTTTTCATGTGATTTTGTGGTTGTGAAGGACTCTGTTAGGGGGAAAGTGATTGGTGTCGGGCATTAATCTCATAGCATGTATTAGTTTCATCCTCTTATTTTGTTGCTTGTGTTGCGATTGAGCCAACGATTACCTTACATAAGCATAACCGGCTAAGCGCTTAGGTCATCCAAGGCTATCAAAACTCCAAAGAACGGTTCCACGTTCATCTTGTCTTCCCTCCTTAGATTGTGAGCCATGTCATCTCAACAAACAACCCCGTCAGTCTTACCCACGTAGAGTCAATAATAGAGCCACATCTCTGTTCGATTTAGTTCATACTGATGTTTGGGATCTATAGAGTCAAATTTAACCTAGGTTTTTCTTATTTTGTTATATTCATAGATGATTATTCCCGCTACACATGGTTAATTGTAATAAAAGAACGATTTGATTTACTCCAAACAAATATTCCAAAAATTTTGTTCGTAAAACCAATGATAATACCTAAGAATTAATTTCTAAACCACATATTCATTTCAGGGCTTCTCGATGGATGCTCCATCTATCTTCTGGTGTTCACACACCACAATAACATGATGTTGTTGAATGTAAGAATCGTCATTTGGTTGATACCGCTCGCACTCTGCTATTACATTCTCATACACCATCTTAGTATTGGGCTGATGTTATTCTATGTGCGTGTCACCTAACCAACAGAATGCCTTCATTGGTAATTAATAACGATGTCTCTTATTCTATCTTATTACCTACACGTGAATTCTTTCCATTGTCACCTCTATTTTTGGGTGTGTTTATTTTATTGGTGATACAACATCGGGACCAAAAAATTGTCGCTAGCCAAACAAATGCATTTTTATCAGGTATACATGCCTTCAAAAGGGAAATCGTTCTTATTCTTCAATAATACAGAAACAGTTTATTTCAGCCGATGTCACCTTCATTAAATAAAATGAAGAGCTATTGCAACAACTGGATATAAGAAATGCTTGTCTTTACACCACGTCTGGAAGTGAAGAGTTATACTCAGATTTATGGGTTGGATTATACTAATACATATTCTCTTGTAGCTAAAATTGCATCTACTCGCTTACTTTTTTCTATGGCAACCATGAGTTGCTGGCTATTGCAATAACTGGATATAAAAAATGCTTTCCTACATGGTAGTCTTGAGGAAGTTTATATGAAGCAATGTTAGAACCTGCAATTCTAGTCTAACAGATCACAGCAAGGAATCAAGATCATCAAGGCAACTTTATTTACTCAGGCAACTTTATTACTTAGGCAACAAGATAGAGATACAACTGTGATCTTCCCACTCCATATTACAAGTCAAAACAGCCTCCTTACTAACTCCCCCTTCCCGTCTATTTATACTAGAATACTCACAGACCCTTATTACTAATATTATTATTAATACTCTTATTATTAGTCTAATAGGTAGGCCCCTATCAATACTCCCTCCCTAAACATCCACCTTGCCCTCAAGGTGGGCGGTAGGAGACAGCCAAGTTATTCTGCTGCTGCTTCTTCTTCCTTGCACCTCTTCCTTCCCAATATCTAACTGGTTGATGGACTAGGGACTTCAGTACAAGTTCGTTTGAAATCACAGAACTTTCAGCAGCATAAAGTAAATCTACATTTGGTTCAGTCATCTTCCCCCACTCCACATCAAAAATTATTTCACTTTTCTGCAGCTCCTCATGATTTCTATTTTCTGAAACTAATATTGTACTGGATGCAAAGCAAGAAAGCTTATCACCTATGTGAAACTTCCACAGATGGTTTTCTGGCAGGTAGACAGATCCATTACCAGTAAATGACATGGCCATTTTCCAACCCTGTTCTAATTTCACCTTTGCCTTTGCTTCAATATGTTGTTCCACAACATTTTCCACTGTTTTCTCATTTAAGGAATTTGTAATTCTGAGGTCTCCGGTTAAAAAGCCCATCCACAAGTTGGTAGGGGAGTCAAGAATACTTGGTTCCTTTCCATTCAGATTCACAAGAACAAAGGAAACAACTGGGGAATAGTATTGATGATCCCTTGAATTATAATGGGTAGATAGTCCTTCAATTTTGGTTTTCAAAATTGCTCGAAACACAGTGAAAGAGTGTTTCTCAGCCGTCAAATTCTGATTAGGCACTGCTGTTTCAGCCCCTTTATCAGCAATAGCAAGCCTTCCTCTGCTCACACCCTCCATCCAATTTAGAGGACCTCCATGTGAAATCATTACCCCAACTTGAATAATGACATATGATTCCCAAGAAAAGGGATGAACCCGATCCTCAAGAACCCCTGGACCAGACCTCTTTCGTTCCAGGCATGAATTTCCGGTTGCAGGATTAGGAAAAACATAATCTGGCAATTGTACAACGTGTCTTCTTCCTACATCATATTTCAACATAGATACATAATGCCCTAATCCTTTTTGATTAATTTTCATAGAAGTAACACCTTCCAATGTAAGATCATCATACTTGTTCAATCCTTCCAACACAATGTTTGATGACTGGCGATACATCATTTGACATTTCAGTATTGCAGTCATTTGGCCAGTTCTTCTTGTGTGCAAGATGAGAAGAAATATCGCATACCTGAAGAAGCTTGATCCTATTGTTTTCAAGATCTGACTGGTCAAGATCGTACTTGGAAAACATCTTACGTCTGGGGAATCCATCAAGATCTGACTGGTCAAGATCTGAAGTTCAAGATTAACTAAAGATTTCTCCTTGCCATCCTCTTCGCCATAGGTGTGTGTACCTTCCGTGGACTGCTGCTGCTGATTAACCGACTCTAGGGACTCAGATAGAGATAGCGAACTAGGGTTTTCTACTCGAGTCGAAGCCAGAGGACCGAAAGAAGTATCTAACGACTGAGATGGACCTTTGTTTTTCGAATTCACGCAGCGACGTACTTTCCTCGATCTCCCTCGCCTGCGATGTTGGGACCGCATCTTGGTGCGCAACCCTGTGTTCATCTTCTTTGCCCCAGCACTTTCCACCTTTTCCTTGTTCTTCGTACGTTTCTCCTTTTCCAGGTTTGATGGCTTCTCTCCTTCTCCACTTTTCCGCGCTCATTCTTTTCTGCGAACTTCCCCAATTTTCCGCGCCAATCCTTTCGTGATTGTGAAACAGTTCGCGGCTCCTTCCGCGACTTTCGCGACTCCGACTCCTTCTGCGATTCCTTCTGCGACTTGGTCCTTGACTTTCCTAGCGAGTGCCGATTGTTTCTTTCCGGGCTTAATTTGCGTATCCTTTTGCACAAAAGCCTGGTATCTTCACGCATCTTTTCCCAAAACGGCCCCCAATCTTCCATCGTTCATTTACAGGACTACAAATAACAAGATCGTTTTACTCTGATACCAATGTTAGAACCTGCAATTCTAGTCTAACAGATCACAGAATTGAATTAAGAACATCAAGGCAACTTTATTTACTCAGGCAACTTTATTACTTAGGCAACATGATAGGGATACAACTCTGATCTTCCCACTCCAGATTACAAGTCAAAACAGCCTCCTTACTAACTCCCCCTTCCCGTCTATTTATACTAGAATACTCACAGACCCTTATTACTAATATTATTATTAATACTCTTATTATTAGTCTAATAGGCAGGTCCCTATCAAGCAACCACCAGGTTTTGATGCTCAAAGAGAGTCTGGTTTTGTGTGCAAGCTACGCCAGTCCTTATATAGAATGTTTTCTTTTGGACTGAAATTTGTTGATCTGGTCTGTTCTGGTCTGTTTAAGTCTGATCTGGTCTGAACTGGTTTGGTTAATGTCTGATCTCTATGTATTTTATAACTGTCCAAGTCTAGTATGGTCTGGTCTGATCTGGTCAAGGACTAAAACGGTCCAAAAGAAAACATCCATAGTCTGAAACAATCTCCACATGCATGACTTAAATGATTCAGTGATGTCATTCCTAGATTTGGCATGATCTGAAGTGATGTTGATCACTTTGATTTCTATAGACATTCAACATGAAACAGGTGCATTTATTGGGTTGTATATGTCGATGACATTGTCATTATAGGTAATAATAAATAGGGAATCACTCAATTCTAGGAATATCTCTTTAGCAAATTCCAAATAAAATATTTGGTGAAGCTAAAGTACTTTCTTGGTATTGAGGTTGTACAGTTTCGTAACGGTATTGTCCATCCCCGAAGGAAGTATGAGTTGGATATTCTTGAGGAAACAACTATATTGGAGTGTAGACCGTAGATACACTGATGGATCCAAATGTAAAACTCTTACTAACATAAAACTCTTCCAAACGAATCGGATTCAATTTGTCAATTTTTAATTTTTATTTTATAACATGTAACCTGTTAAATATCAAACACTTATTAAACTTAAACTTCGAATTGGCTTATCTAAAGCCCCATAGGAGAACATCAAAGAGGTTAGAAAACCGTATAACATCTCAAAAATCATTAAACAGAAGCAACATGGGGGGTCAAAAGATAAAACAAACCTGGACAAGTTGACTTTCATCTAGAGCAGATAAGCTAACAAAAATTGGGAACCGTCCAACAAATTCTGGTATGAGTCCATATGCAGTGAGATCATTACTTTCTACCTGAAGTTAAAGTAAGACAGTAAGGATAAACCTCCGTGTATCTCATTTTCATAACCTCTATTATGAAAAACCTTAGGCATCAAGATAAATATACTCACAGATTCCAGCAGCGATGAGCCAACGACATCATTTGTAGGGGCAGCAGGGGCCATCTGATTACGAACTGGAGCTCCAAACCCAATTGAAGAGTCTTGTCGCCTGAGACAAAAGAACATAAAGACACATATGCACTGTATTTCTGCATTTAATAAATTCATTTATAACTGTGAACAAGTATTGTTATATTTCATGTACTTGATATCAAATGCTATACAAGAAGCTACTCCCTCCGTCCCGCTATGATTGTCCCATTTTACCTTTTCGGTCCGTCCCACTAAGATTGTCTCATACCTTATTTGGTAAACTTGTGTGGTTCTAAATCATTTCTACTTTATTCTTACTTTATCAATTCAATATCAACCACATAAACCCACTTTTATTAATAACCGTGTCACCTTCTCTTGTCCCAAACTTAGGGGGGACGGAGGTAGTATATTTATAGCTATATTTAGAGCATTGGGGTTCCATATACAAAGATATACAAAATGGGTTAAGCCCAACTCTACTAGGGTTTCCACACTCCCCCTCAAGCTGGAGCATATAAATCATATGTACCAAGCTTGTTACAAATATATCCCGCTCTAGGACCTCTAAGAGACTTAGTTAGAATATCTGCAAGTTGTTCGGTTGCCCAACAATCTGCAGATTGTTAATATATCTAAGAGACTTAATATATCCCGTTCGAACAACAATCCTTGCCCAAGTGTTTTCTTGATGTATCTCAAAACTCGAATAGCTGCATCCCAATGTCCATTACATGGCTTATCAAGAAACTGACTAAGGACACTTACCGCAAATGAAATATCTGGCCTCGTGATGGTAAGATAATTCAATTTGCCAATGTGTTTTCTATATTTTTCCCTGTTGGGTAAAAGTACCCAACAATCTCCCTGTACTGACAAGAGTTTGACGTTCGGATCCATAGGTGTATCCACTGGCCAGCACTCTAACATACCTATTTCCTCAAGAATATCCAATGCATATTTTCTTTGTGAAATGGCAATTCCATTTTGAGACTGTGCGACCTCAATGCCAAGAAAGTATTTCAACTTTCTTCATTCTTTTGTTTGGAATTTGCTAAAGAGATATTGCTTCAGGAGTGCAATTCCTTGTTCATCGCTACCTGTAATGACAATGTCATCAACATATACAACAAGATAAACATATTTGTTGCCTGCAGAATGTCTATAAAATATAGAATGGTCGACATCACTGCGAATCATGCCAAACTCGCAGATAACGGCACTAAACCTCCCAACCATGCACGTGGTGAATCTGGTGATTGCTTCAAGCCATATAAAGCACGACATAATCTGCATACCAAATTGAGCAACAAAACCAGGTGGTTGCTCCATATAAACCTCCTCGTGCAGATTACCATGAAGAAATGCATTTTAAATATCCAATTGGAATAATGGCTACTTGGCTAGTGGCTCATTGTTGCCATGGATAAAATCAAACGAATCGATGCAATCCTCGCTACAGAAGAAAAAGTGTCAGTGAAATATAGAGAAGATCATCAGGGAAATGCTACAGGCTGGAATCATACAACACAAGAAGAAAGACGGGGGCTGGAGGTTCTGCGGTGATTATAGGGCCCTGAATCGGATCACCATCCCTGATAAATACCCTATACCTATAATCGAAGAGCTGCTGGATGAGCTGGGTGGAGCTACTATCTTTACCAAGCTTGACCTCAAATCGGGGGTACCATCAAATTCGGATGAAGGCCGCAGATATTCAGAAAACCGCATTTAGAACCCATGATGGCCATTATGAATACTTAGTAATGCCATTTGGGTTAACTAATGCCCCCGCCACTTTTCAATCACTCATGAATCAGGTTTTGAGGCCATTTTTGAGGAAGTTTGCATTGGTTTTTTTGATGATATACTCATATACAGCCAGAACAAGGAAGCCCACCAAGAGCACTTAAGGAGTGTCCTAGGAGCACTAAGGGAGAATCAGCTAGTCGTTAATTCAAAGAAGTGCTCGTTTGGACAATCTCAGCTAGTTTATTTGGGACACATTATCTCAGGGAATGGAGTAGCAGCTGATCCGTCTAAGATTGAGGCAATGGTGAGTTGGCCAGAACCTAGAGATTTAAAGGGTTTGAGAGGTTTTTTGGGGCTAACCGGTTATTACAGGAGATTTGTCAAGGGGTATAGCAAGCTGGCTTTGCCTCTTACCCAACTGCTTAAGAAAGACAGTTTCAAGTGGGACACTTCAGCTTCTATTACTTTTGGAAACTTAAAAAAAGCTATGACCACCTTACCTGTCCTAGCAGTTCCTGATTTCAATAAGCGTTTCATCTTGGAGACTGATGCTTCCGGAACTGGTCTTGGGGATGTTCTCATGCAAGAGGAAAGACCCATTGCCTACATGAGCAAAGAGTTATCCAAAAGAAATCAGGGCAGGTCTGTGTATGAAAGGGAGTTGATGGCTATAGTGTTAGCGGTGCAAAAATGGAGGCCCTATCTTCTACGAAGAACTTTTGAGATTCACACAGATCAGAAGAGCTTGAAATTCTTGGCTGAGCAAAAATTAATGGGAGAAGAACAGCAGAAATGGACTTCTAAATTGCTGGGCTACAATTTCATCATCCGGTATAAACCTGGGATAGAAAACAGAGCTGCAGATGCGTTGTCAAGAAGACCTACCCTACACTCTTTGTCAATTATCACCTGTCAAGAGTGGGGAGGATTGGAGGAGTTGCAGGCAGATCCTAGATGCCATGAGATGATTCAGAAGGTAATATCTCAACCCGATAACTATTCAGATTGTCAGTTGATAAAAGGGTTGTTGTACCACAAGGGGAAACTAGTTCTGCCAAAACAGTCTCCCAGAGTACTGAAAGTGTTAAAAGAATAGCATGATTCTTCTACTGGAGGACACACAGGGTACTTTAGAACTATGAAGAGAATAACCAATTTATTCTATTGGCATGGTATGAAATCTGATATCAAGAAATATGTGGGAGGATGTACAGTCTGTCAAACCAACAAATATCAGGCTCTCAAACCCGCTGGTTTGATACAACCTCTGCCAATACCCAATAATATTTGGACAGACATCAGCATGGATTTCACAGGGGGCCTCCCAAGATCCCAGGGTTATGATACTATACTTGTGGTGGTGGACCGGTTAACAAAATATGCTCATTTCTTAGCCCTATCTCACCCCTTCAATGCCAAGGAGGTAGCTGAATTATTTATAAAAGAGGTGGTGAAATTACATGGGTTTCCTAGGACCATAGTAAGTGACCGGGACAGCCTGGTCATGAGCTCCTTTTGGTCAGAACTGTTCAAGCTGGCAGGTACCCAACTGCGATATAGTACTGCCTACCACCCCCAGACAGATGGACAAACGGAGGTGGTGAACCGATGCCTAGAAACCTACCTAAGGTGTCTTACAGGGAGGAAGCTGAAGCAGTGGAAACAGTGGCTGCACTGGGCTGAGTTCTGGTACAACACGAATTATCACTCGGCTTTGAAACTAACACCTTACAAGGCTCTTTTTGGTCAAGATCTTCCTGCTGTTATCAGGGGTGATGTAACCACAACTGCGGTAGAAGAAGTGTCTCAACTAACAGCCCACAGAAATGCTATGTTGGAGGAACTAAAAAAGAACTTGGCTGCGGCTCAGAATTTGATGCAGCAACAAGCCAATAGGCACAGAAGGGAGGTACAGTTGGAAGTGGGAGATCTGGTGTACTTGAAGATACAGCCTTACAAACTACAGAGCTTAGCCAAAAGAGTAAACCAAAAGCTAAGCCCCAGATTCTATGGGCCTTTTGAGATCCTGGAGAGGATAGGGCCTGTAGCCTATAAACTCAAGCTGCCTCCTGACAGTAGAATACATCCAGTGTTCCACGTGTCCCTACTTAAGAAAGTGCTGTCCTCAAACACTTCTTTTGAGCCTCTTCCTAAGTGCCTGAATGAAGAAATGGAACTGCAGGTGAGACTCCTGAGAAAGTTGTAGATAACAGAGTGAATCCAGGAGGGGAAGCCGAGCTTTTGATACACTGGAAAGGTCTACTCAGCTTCGAAGACTCTTGGGAACCCGTACAGGGGATACAGGAACTCTTCCCATATTTTCACCTTGGGGACAAGGTGAATTTCCGGGGGGGGGGGGGGGGGGTATTGATAGAGATCAAGTTCAGAGACCGGTTAAATATTTTGATAAAGTTTACTCAAGGAGGAAAGAGAGGGTAGCAAGTAATCACTTATTTTAATTATTGATGCTTTTGGTCCCTGCGTGGACACACTACTATAAATAGTAACCTAGGGCTACTTTTCAGGCAGACTGTTATTTTGATATTGAGAGTTGCCTTGTTGCCTTGTTACCTAAGTCCCGAGGTTACCTTGTTGCCTACGGTTTATCTGCGTTTATCAATAAAACCTATTTCTCTATCCTTCATCAGATTCTGATTCCCTGCTTGTTAGTTTACTGTATTGCTCAGATCTGTCCAGGTACCTATCAGGAAGGCATTCTATTTATTAAATAACACGCAGTGAGTACAGCGTCTGTTCTTGCGTTCAGCTACCCCATTTTGTTGAGGCGTGTGTACACAAGAAGACTGGTGAAGCATACCCCGTGATGTCATGAATTGATTAAAGGGTGTCCGCAAAAAATTCTTTAGCATTATCACTGCGTAAAATTTTGATTGAATGACCAAACTGAGTGTGGATTTCGGCACAAAAAGTTTGAAAAATATGGAATAATTCAAAACATTCTTTTATTAAAAACAACCATGTGTAACGGGAAAAGTCATCCACAAAAATAACAAAATAGCGAAATCCTAAAGTAGAAGTGAATCGATAACGGACCCCATACATCTGTATGAACCAAATCAAAAGGGGACGCAGCCAGTTTATTAACATGCCTTAGAAAGGATTTACGAGGTTGTTTTCCAAGGTGACATGAGTACATGACTCACAATCTAAAGACGAAAGACTTGAGAAACCTGGAACCATACGTCAAAACTTTGAGAGGCTAGGATGACCCAAACGGTTATGTAACGTTAATGCAGGTTCAACGGAGACACAAACGATTGGATCAACAGGAGGAAGATGATATAAGCCTTGAGATTCATGCCTGACGCCAATCGTCTTCCCCATACGATGGTCCTGCACAATTACAGAATCAGCAAAAAAGGTTATAGAACAATCAAGAGCACACGCAATTTTACTAACAGAGACAAGGTTAAAGGGGCTATTAGGAACATATAAGACTGAATGTAATGGTGAGGATGAGAGTGGGAGTGCTTGGCCAATACCTGTGGCCGAAGTTTGATGACCATTAGCAAGAGTAATTAAAGGTGTTGGTGCTTGGTAATATGGGACAAAAGATGGGGATTACCAGAAATATGGTCCGAAGCACCCGAGTCAATGATCCATGAGCCTATGGTGTTTGAAACACAAGCGGTAGACGTACCAGGTGCAGAGAAAGGCACATTAGCCGACTTAAATTTCTGATATGCGGCATATTCGGCTGAAGGTAGAACAAAAGGAGATGGCAGGATCTGAGCAACAGTGGCTGAGCTAGGAGGTCTCCTGTGTAACTTCCAACATCTATCTTTAGTATGACCAATCTTATGACAGTAGTCACACTTAGGTCGGCTTCGACGCAGATATCCTTTGTTGTTTCCTCCGTCGGGCCCCACACCTTGGGATGCAAGAGTGGTAGAATCCATAGAACCCAATTCAGTAGATACCGGGGCCGCACGAAGAATTCGAGAAAAAGCCTTTGTCATAATTGGAACAGTAGAACTAGAGAGAATTTGTTTGCGTATATATAACAGCTTTGGGCGAAGACTCGCCAAAGCTAAAACCATAACAAGTTGTTGTCGTTGTTTTAGTTATTTCTCTCTATCTTTCGTGATGGGTTGAATGGTATTATACTCAAAGAGTAAAGCCTCAGCCCGACCTAGAAAATCCTGGATGTCTAATTCTTGTTGCTTGAGCATGGCAATTTTGGATCCGAAAGAAAACAGACTTAAAATATCATTAGTGTAATTAGACTTGGCTTTCTCCCAAATCTGTTTACACGTCCGATATGATTGCTATGTAAGATGAAGTTTGGAGTCCATGGATTGCCACAAAACATTGCACAACAGTGCATCCATATTCTCCAATTCCGTTTTTTCATCCTTGACTGAATTGGCATTTGTAAGCAAGTGATCAATTTGTCCTTGACCTTTGAACCACATCTCCACGGAAATGGCCCATGATTGATAATTAGCACTTCCAACCAAACGGTTTTTTTAATGTAAAGAGAAAAGTAAATATGAGTAATTTAAAATTACTGCTGCAAGGAAATACTATAGCAAAGAGAATCCGTGAATAAAAGAAAGCAGCAGTAGCAAACCAAAGAGCAATGAAGCAGCAAAAGAAACTGTAAAGTGTTTGGTGAAATAGGTAGAGTAACAGCCAGAGCAGTGGTGAGCGGCCAGAGCAGTGGTGAGCGGCCAGAGCAGCGGCGAGCGGCCAGAGAGACAGCGGCGACCGATCTGGGCGGCGCGTGGGTTCGGCAGCGGCGCCTGGGTTGTCCGATGAGTGGCTGGTTTATGTTGTTTTGGTCGCCAGTCACAGATCTTCAGTGTGTCGACTGTGTGAGCTCAAGATGAGTAGATCGAGAGAGATCTGAAAACAAAGGTGATGGAACCTGGCGGCGGCGGCGGCCCCTGGCAGTGCGTGGAGTGTGCAACGGAGGTGTAGTTTCAGACGTGAGGTTGCAATGGTGTACTGAGGATGGCGGTAGGTGTGGTTGGATATATCACTACCGAAAATTGCTCAAACACCAAACGCTTTTACTGTTCACGGTGGACTTTCTCGCCGGAAATTAGGAACACTATATCTAAAGACATATATGGTTCTGATACCATGTGAACAAGTATTGTTATATTTCATATACTTGATATCAAATGCTATACAAGAAGCTATATTTATAGCTATATTGAGAGCACTAGGGTTCCATATACAAAGATATACAAAATGGGCTAAGCCCAACTCTACTAGGGTTTCCACAATAACTGGTCAAGACTCAAGATATATTAGATTAAAAAGGGCATTACCTCTCTGAAATTGCCTTCTCCAGCCCAATGAAGGCTCCACCACAAATAAAAAGGATATTTTTTGTGTCTATCTGTCAAAAACAATCATTAAAGATCAATAGGTTCAAAGGAAGAATGGTGGAATTCAGTTAAACCACAACATTGAAGGTGGCATTTAAATATCCTTTGTATCATATTCCTTCGAACTTTTACTGTGCTTAAAAGTTGGACTTGGACACACTCAAACAAGTTGGTAAAATATACAATTCCACATTTAAAGTTTTCTATATTGAAATTGTATGCCAACAGGCAATAGCCATGTTTATCTTTACAAAATAATAAAAGTGTACAGAAGTCTAGCACAGCATAATTATCACTCAGAAGCTTGAAATGTTTAGCAATCACAGAAATAAAGGGATTGACAGGAGATGTTTTTATACAAGTGTGAGAAGAGATAGTATTATAGATTGTCAGAATGATTACATGGATACAATTTGTGAGCAGCCAATTAAGGTTACTAGTTATCAAAAAGATTTTACATAATTACAGATGTGAAAAATAATTGATGTGCAGAATAATTGGTAACAAGGAAAGATTTACTTTCCTTCTAGAAATGTGCAAAATTATTGGTAACAAGGAAAGATTTATTTTCCTTCTGCATGCCCCTCTAGCCAGGAGTGGCTGGAGCAATCTTGAGCTTGGAACGTAAGAGGAAACAACCACTAGAAAGTGGTTTAGTGAGTGCATCGGTAAGTTGATAACTTGATCAACAGAAGGAACATGGCGAACACGGAGCAACGCTTTGTAAACACGATGCCGAACATAGTGATAGTTGATGGCCAGGTGTTTCATGCGAGAGTGAAAAGACAGGATTTGGACAGGTGTATGTTGCACTGACATTGTCACAGAACAGAGCTGGAGGATCGGGAATGGAGATTCAGAGCTCAATCCTGCCAACCTCAACTGCGGCAGATGCTAGTGCTCGATACTCAACCCCAATGGAAGATCGAGCAACTGTCTTTTATTTAAACGACTTCCAAGAAAGAAGCATGACCCGAGATGCAACAGGTAAGCACTGGTAGAACAGCAATCTACGTGATCGCCAGCCCAATCGGCGTCACTGCAAGGACAAAGAGAGGAACGCAGATTTCGGAAGAAAAAAACTGAGCAGGATGGTACCTTTGAGATACCGTAATGCTCGTTTTAGAGCAGTCCAAGACTCCAATCATCTTCTGTGGGTGTTTGCATTCGTTGAGCCAGACAATGAATAGCAAAGGCGATGTCAGGATGGGTTAATTGAAGATATTGGAGAGAGATAATCTCGTGCCGGAAATACGAGGGATCCGTGTACGTGGGACTGGTTGCATATAGCTGCAATGAGGACCTCAAGAGCATTGAAATAGATTAGGCATCATGCATCTTTGTAGCATGTAAAATGTTGTGTATATAATGGCTTAGGCTTAAGAGAAGCCCATTAGCAAAGGAGTAAATTTGAACACCAAGGAGAAAGTGTAATGAACCTGAGTCTTTAATTTGAATTTCATAGCAAAGGTATGAATAGATTGTCGAATAGCAGCAGGTGAGCTTCCAATGATAATGATATCATCAACATAGACAAGGATGATGTACATTTGAAGATCGCCCTAATTATAGATAAAGAGGCGAGCATTTGCAACTGACTGATGAAAACTCAGTTAGCAAGAAGTTGCTCAACAACTCATACCAAACACATGATACCTGCTTGAGTCCATAGATAGAGCATCGTAAACGACACACATAATAGAGACGAGTTTTGTCAACAAAACCTGGGGGTTGATCCATAAAGACCTCCTCTGTAACGCATTGTTGTCATCATGCTGATTAATTATCCAGCCCTAAAAGAGCGCAACAGCAAGAACAATCCGGACAGTACTTTGTTACTGATTTCACAGCGGGGTCGAATGTCTTAGGAATTCAAGGGTGGAGTGCTGATAAAAACCCTTAGCAACCACAAGTGCTTTGTAGCACTCAATAGATTCAGTAAGGTGATACTTAACCCAAAATACCCAACGTCAACCAACAATGTTTTAATTAGGAGCTAGCGCAGTCAAATCTCAGGTCACATTATCCATAAGAGCGTTGAACTCATCATCCATAGCAACCCTCCCCTGTAGTACCTGCATAGCGTGAACTCAACGCCAGACAGAGGGGATGTTTGAAGGAAAAGTTCTGTTGCTTAGGGTGGAGATGGGATTGAAGTATAGTGGTCATGGGAAGTAGTCCGGTTGGTTGTTAGGGATGACATACGGGCAGATTGGGCTCCCTAAGAGGGCAGGATGGAGTTGGGATGGTTTGGCCCAAAGGAGATGGGCCAAGAGATGTTGAAGTTGGGACTGGGGAAGAGGTAACGTTCAGGTTAACAAGCGACCGGCATTGGGTCCGTTTCAGAACATGGTTTCAGGGCAGAGTGGGCAGGGACAAGTATTGATTCCAGTTCAAGACACGTTTCACGGGCAGAATAGCCTGAGCCGGATTGGTTTGGACTGTTTCGGCTTATATTGGGCTGATTAAATGTGGTTGGGCCAAGATAGCAAGGGCTTGTCTACCTAATGATAGGGAAATGGTTGAATAAGATTTAGATTATTTGGTATGGACTTAGGTGAGATGGTGAACATACCTGATGAGGGAGCCTGAACTGAGATTGAATTGAAGGATGTTGACAGACCAGGAGAAAACAAGTCCTCATAGGAAGGACGACTTGCTAACGTGGTGGAAAGAGGGAAGACTGACTCGTTAAATATAATGTCACGAGACATAAATTTATTGAGTGTTAAGGTCAAGTCACTTCAATGCATCTTTCCGGATGCAATAACCCAAGAAACACATGGGTGAGACTGAGGAGCGAGCTTATGTGAAGCGTATGGACAAAGCCAAGTAAAACACAAACAACCGGAAATTCAAAGTTTAGAATAATTGGACTTAGTTTTACGGAGCACATAAGGCGAGAGACTAATTCGAGCCAGACTAAGTTGCCTATTGATTAAATAGACTACTGTTTGGAGAGCATATGATCAATATTTGGTGAGTAGCGAGGCGTGATAGAAAAGAGTGATCCCTTGCCATTGAAGATGTGTGCCAAGTGAAATATATTCACTACCACCGTCTGAATGAACGACTTGAATTTTTTTATTAAAGTATCATTCAACAGTTAGTTGAAATTGTTGAAAGGTAGGAAGCACATCAGACTTACGTTTTAAGGGATATAACTAGATATATTTAGTGTAATCATCAACAAAAATCACATAATAACGAAAACCATCACACGAAACAATATTTCCTAAGGTCCCCACACACCATTGAATATCACTAGACAAAGAGGAGGTAGAAAAAAAAGCAGTTTTTGACTTTTATTACAAACACATGATATGTAAATAGAGTTGGCCATGTTTGCTTGTAGCTAATATCGTGAATAGCAGGTGATTGCTAATATCGGGCTTCTTGCAAATTTGGCACTCAACAGAACCCCTATTAGATTTGTGGTTGTTTCTACGCCCTTTCCCTCTATAATAGCCAGCGTTATTACTTTTTGTTGGATTATTAGCTTGAGCAGTGCTAGGACCAAAGGGAGTGTAATTAGACTGAACAATTGATGGGTTTGGGCCCAAGAAAAGGGGGTTGATAGCCACGGAGCCCATAACCATGGACAGGAAAGGGGTGCATATAGGCAGCAGTTGGCGCCCATTGCGGCAACACCATGGACTGCCATGAGCAAAATTGGTTGGTGAAACTCTGATTGGAGGTGGAGTAGACCAGGACGCTACACAATGATGAAGGGCGCCATTAGCGGTGACCGGACCAAGGGTCGATTGCTGATAGAATCTCACTTCTTTGCAGGATACCAGATGTTCATGAAGTTCTTCAAAAGCCCATTTATCTCAGCTACCACGCAGAAATCCTGTGTATTTGGAAAATTCAGCCTGAATTCCATTGATGAGATGCAACTTGAAGTTGTTTGGAGAAACCTCCTGGCAAAGTTTGCTCAATTCATTGGACAGATAATTGAGATGCTGCAAAAACTCCGACATCGATTGCTTTGTTTCTTTCGAGCATGATGGAGCTGTTCAGTGAGGTTGAGAAGTCAGGTTAGAGAAGAATTGGCATAGATGTTCTCCAAGGTGACCCAAATGTCACGGTAGGTTAGGGCTGTAGAAATAAAGGAGAGAAGTCAGAGAACTGCCGGACTAAACAACGTAATCATTGCCTGATGGAGAAGACCATCTTGATCGCACCAACGAGGCGTGGTGGGATCGGTAGCGGAAAATTCAATTGATACATCAACATTCAACAAAATAAAATTTCAGTGGAAAATTCGCGACAGTAGGGAGGAAGGGACTGTCCTTGAGAGAGTCAGGGAAGTAGGAGAGGTAACTTTCTTGTCTTTGTTTTCATAGTTGGCCATAGAAGATCGAGACTGGTTAAAGTTCATAAGCTCTGATACCATATAGGAGTGTGAGAACATATATAATATTATTGATTGTCAGAATGATTACATACATACAATTGTTTAGCAACTAAATAAGATAACTAATAATTAGAAAAATACATAATTAAAGATGATAGTTGTATAATCTAATCGATGTGCAGAATAATTGGTAACAAGGAAAGATTCACTTTCCCTCTACAAATGTGCAGAATTATTGGTAACAATGAAAGATTTACTTTCCTTCTATAGGTTTTAGATCCTACCTCAATAATGTCACCACGTGAATGCTTCCGCGCTCTATTATCGGGCACATTTACAATCTGATACACAATAAGTTATGTAAATCAATCAATAGAACACTTAGAAATAAATACACAGGCTAACCAAGAACATACTTAATTAGCATACTTCATACCTTAAGTTTCAAAAATTAAGGAAGTCTCTCGTAGAAACTAGGGAAATGCTTCTTCGAAGTGGTTAAAGCTATGAGATACTCTAAATGAACGAATAAGATAAATTCACAGAACATACCGTTCCTTCCAGCATTTTAAGCAGACCTTGTTGAACACCTTCTCCACTCACATCTCTACCACTGTTTAAGCTCTCAGCCTATATATAATATTTGTAATATGAAATGTACTGATGAAAAAACATAACTCAATTACTCAATTCATAATCATATAAAGCTAAGTATGTGCAGTGATTATCAAATTATAGCTTGGATGTATATGTAATATTCAGCAACCTTTTTAGTTATCTTATCAACTTCATCGATATATACTATTCCACGCTCAGCTGCTTCTAAATCAAAGTCAGCAGCCTAAGAGAACAAACAACAGCACAAACATTAGCTAGAAATATAAGACATTTAAATGTCAATATAGTATTGAAGACCGTATATGATACTCCCTCTGTCCCATTAACAAGTTCCCGATTCAGTTTATGATGTGTGACCGGCGATATGTTTAACTAATCCCTGCTAATATTCAGATTATTATTAATAAACTAGACTACACTAGAAGTTGTATGAATCGCTAATATCGAATTCAAATTTGATAAAAGTTTAATAATATAAACCAGGGTTAAGAGTGATTTAAGTTAACTACATGAATAGTTCATGGGAACTTGATTCTAGGATGGAGGTAGTATACTACTATATCTATATCCAATATTCCAATTCCATATTCATTTAGAAGACAATGTCAAAATGATAATCAGTTAAATGGCTACAATGAGAGACTTAATTGAGAAGAGTATGGAGTCCATTTGATCAAGTTTATCAAGACGCATGCATAAATGTAAAAATGACTTCATAATTCAAAAACAGGCAGCATGAAAGGGTACCACACGATGAGACCAAACGTAGAAAGCATGTATATCACTATGTTAAAAAATCTAGACGTAACAACTTGATGTAGTGATCATTTGGATAAGCTTTTACAACTTTATTGATGCAAGGAAAAACTTTTAAAAACAGTGCTTTGGAACATCTCATATGTGAGCTAAGCCCTTTGTTCAAATGCAATTGCAGTAGTGATATGGAGAGACCATAAAAACTACATAGAAATTTTGTGCACTAAGAATAAGACTCTTGTCACATGTCATACTTCCCTTATACTTCATCCCTAAACAGTACACATATTTAATTTTCTAATAAAACTAATGCTATAAGTAAAGGCCGCTTAAATTTTGGGTAGACATGCATCCTTTTAAAAAAAAAACATCCCCGCCAACATCAAACACTATGGGAAAACTATCAAACAAAACCCTCATATTATATCAAAAAAAGTCAATTAAGCCTTTGAACTAAAAAATACCCACTCAGGCCCGGGAACTTTACAAAAACACTCAAATACCTAAATTAGCCGGTTAACGCCCGATTAACGGGTTACTGTGCTTACATGGCCAATCTACATGGCAGTATTACTACTTTCCTGTTTTTTTCCTTTCCCCCTTGTTCTTTTCTGCCCGTCCTTTCTTCTCCCCTTCTTTCTTTTTCAAGTTGCCTGAGACGATTCCTTTTTTCCTCTCATCAATCTCCGCCACTGATTCCTCCAACAAGTCTCTGGTCCATAAGCAATGCCTCCGCCTTATCTATCTGCTCTCTGAGGAACATGGTGACTGTCTCTCCCCTCAGCTGTCAACACTCCTCTCAGCCATCGTCCACCACCTAGGAACCTACGCGATCACAATACCTATGTTCGTTCTGCCTGCATCGCCGCTTGTGGATCTATCTCCTCGCACATCACCAAGCCGCCGTTCCCCTCCATCATCAAGCCACTCCTAAATGCATTATTCATGGAGAAGGAGTCCACAGATCAGTGCTGCACCATGCTTGTTGCATGTGATTGATGCAGGAAATTGACTCCCGGATCATATAAATTTGGCTATTACAGTTAAAATTTTGGTGGATTTGGTCTGAATTGACTTGTTTATTGAAGACTAACTTTGTCATGATTTGATTGAGCTAATGATTATCGTGGTTGATGATGTAGGTGAAAGCAGTGAGGGAGTCAATGGATCAGATGTTGGAGGTGTGAAAGCCTGGAAGGAGATTCCCGACTCCTGTGCTAATATTTCACCTCAAATCACAGTGGAAGGGCAGTGATAAATGGAGGAAAGCTTTGTGGGTGGAAGAAGAAAGAAGAAGGGGGGAGAAGAAAGAGACAGGGGAGAGCCTGAGAAGAAAGAAAGCAGAGAAGAAAGAGGAAGGGGGAGAGGGAAGGACAGGGCGGGAAAGATGAATGGGGAGAAGAAAGAGGGAGGGGGGGATGACGGGGCGGAATAGAAGAAAGGGGGAAGGGTAGAAAGGAAATAGTATTAATAGCCACGTGGACTAGCTACCTAAGCACACTCACCGGTTAACAAGGCATTAAACGGCTAAGTTAGATATTTGGGCATTTTTGTAAAGTTCTCAGGCCTGATAGGGTATTTTTTGGTTCGAGTGCTTAGGATGTTTTCTTTTGGACTGAAATTTACTGGTCTAGTCTGATGTTGAATTGGTCTTGTAAACGTCTGGTCTCTGTGTATTTTATAACTATGGAAGTCTGGTCTGGTTTGGTCAGGTCTGATCTGGGACTGAAAACAGTCCAAATGAAAACATCCTTAGTTGACTTTTGTGATATACTACGAGGGCTTTTTGGTAATTTTCTCAAACACTAATGTTTTATGGGGCAATATGTATCAGAGCCGCATTGGACCATGTTATGGCACTTTGTTAGAAAAACATTAAAACACAGATGTTATTGTATTAGGAAAAAAAACTTAGCTCCAACCTCCTGGAATGGTCACTTTTTAAAGAATAGACTCTGAGATTATTTGGCTTAATTAAATTAGAAATCGCAGCATGCCTAATAAGTGCCAACTTCAATTAATGGCATAACCCTTAATTAAAATACAGTTTTTGAGCAGAGACTAATTGGTAGCAGCCGTTGGCCCGTTGCCTTACTTGTTCCTTCAGTCTCCAATAGTAGCCTATTGGTAGCTAATCCCCTCCAATTACCATGGCTTGTTTTAGAGAGTGAAGAGTCAAGACTAATCGGAAACAGCATAAACCAATCATAGGCGTAAAAGGATACTTCAATCCATTGGAGTAGGTCATGTGTGGTTTTTAAAATGATGTACAGGTACACCCTTGGTTTTTAATGGGATCATTAGTTTCATGGTAAATTACAATCACACCCCTATTAATTTCTAGGAATCAAATTTAAGAAGCAATATGTTTTACTTTATTGGTTTACTAAATAGACAGTTATTAGTGCACAAACTATCTTTAGTTAATGTAGGGACTAGGGAGTCAAACGTAATACTTGTAAAACTTCTATGAGGCAACCAATTACCAGAGAATAAAATAAATGCAATGAATGCATGCTATAGAGCATATAGGTGTGCTATGTAAGTGTATGACATATACAGTGTGTGGGAGTGTGCTGTAGCCCAAAAATCTGGTATATTCAACAACATCCAACCATCATAAAAGCAAACACTTTTCATACCATGAGCAATTTGAACAGTAATGACTCTACATCCTCCCCAACATAACCTGCCTAGAGTGGAAGAGAAGTTCCGGTTAGAAATACCACAAGATCACTGAAAACTGCAACTCAATCTCATTTGTAATTTCTGTAGGGATTTCAAAAGACATAATAGAGGGGAATAAAAACATTCATGTAATCCCACATCTCTAAATTCTATAAGACATAAGATTCCATATAAAACTCCTTCAAGTACGAGAGTTATAACAAACACTTGCAATAAGGTGAAGCTACAGCAAAACCTGCCTGTGTTAGTGTTGTTGCATCCGCAATGACGAAAGGCACATTTACGAGACGAGCTAGTGTCTTTGCAAGTAATGTCTTGCCTGTCCTTTCATCATGCGAATTACAGAGTCAAAATCAGGAAATAAATTCAGAGCACTTCCTTAGTGAAACATTGCAGAAACCATACTACAACTACAGGAAAAATCCAGGTTGAGAATTAGATATAGACCTGTGTACTGAATCTAAACGCTGAGAGATGCATCAAGATTAAATTACATACCCGATCCAGTTGGACCTATCAATAGAACGTTGCTCTTCTCAAGTTCAACAAAATCAGTTTCAGAACTTCCATGTTCATTCAAAGATTTACCCAATTCTTCACCTACCCTGGTATATATCAGAATAGCGGTGTATTAGCGACATCCTGAAAACTAATCTACCGTGTAAAGTAATAGCTAAGAGCAAGTGCAGTTGTGTAAGGAGTAACTATTCAGGGTGTTATCTGTGCTATGTATGAGAGGGAACAGTGGAACATTACCAAGAAATGAAGAAGGAAACATATGCTTCAACATATCAACTTCCCTTTGGTCAGACAGAATAGAGAGTTTTATAATTTCCAACTTCAGATATATCAAAGCAAAATATAATTTCCCATTGAACTTAATAAAACATACTCATCTGTACAAACCTCAACCACACAGTTTTTACTATTTTAATTTCACACCCAACATCAACTTGGCAAAATTGATGTTGGGTGTGAAAGTATAATTTAACATTGAAGCGCCAAAAGTAGAGGGAATTGTTGAGAGAATGGTTCCAAAAGACTGGCCTGGAATATCATAGTCTAGTTAATTAAGTTTTTATGATTATAAATGCTAGAAATAAAGTGACTGGCTGACTGCCACCCCAAAAAGAGAGCATCCATCTCACCTGCGGGTTGATGGGGCATCATATATTCTTTTGTAGTGGTTATAAACTGCCACAGACAGAACCTGCATATTGTTTATGAGCTATAAGTTCATAATGAAATTTAAAACAAAGCTATAATCATATTGAAAATTAAAACAAAGCTATAATCATTGGAAAATTAAAACAAAGCTATACTTCTTTATGAATAAAAAAATCACTCCTTTCAAGACAGTATAATTCATGCTCCTAACCATAATAAATGAATCACCACAAAAAAGAAAAGTCAATTCATCATTCACCTTTTTTGCTCTATCTTGCCCAACTACAAACTCATCAAGCCCTTTGCATATCTCTTTCGGGGTAGGCAGCTTGTTCGCCAATTTTAAATCTGTCCACTCACCCGCAGACCCTTCCACACTCTCCTCCACCTCAGTGTCACTGCTGCTGCTGCTCCAGTAACCACTGCTACTACTACTACTTTCCCCAACATCACTACTACTACTACGACTATTGTTATCACTGTAAGTCCTCAACTTTTCCCAAATCTTACCCGAAGATTTGCCGCTCTCAATACCAGCAGCAGTGTTTCCATTATTTTCCTTCTCTCCGGCCTCGTCCTTAACCCGCCCAATCTCAAGGAAATTCCCCTGCAAGGGTTCCAGCTTTGAAGGACGGAAATAGAACGCAGTACGGCAATGCTGGCACAAATTAAGGGCATGATAAATTCCTGTCTGGCCTGCGGTGATCGATAAAGGTCGATTAGAGAAGAGAAGGGACATGGACTTGGAGCAGCGCGGGCAGTTAACCTCCGCTTTTAACTGGTCATAGTTTTCGGAACTCCCTTCCCACTTGCACCTCCGACTAAAACCTATCCCTAGCGCTCCCCTCGTGGCCGAAGGATAGAACTGCAGGCGAATGAGTGTCGAGAATAAATGGAGCTTGAGAGGGGCTGTGATGGAAGAGGAGCTGGAAGGATACTTGGAAGAGCCGAACGAGTGGAAGGGAGCCTTGAAAGGGAAATGGTGGTGGAGCTTTGTTTTGTGATGCCTGAAAATTGCAGACATTGTTTTTTTCTCTGTTTCTGCTTTGCAGTTTTCTTTTGTTGCTGACACAGAAATGCTTGTTTACAACAGGGCAAATACTACTCCCTTGAAAAGATCACTACCTTAAAAAGTAAAAGGCGAAAAGAGGCTTGCAAAAAAAAAAAGGCGAAAAGAGGAAATAAAATATAAAAGGTAAAAAAAGTAAATTTTATAGCATAAACTTACCAAAAAATTTAAAGTGGTGAACACACATTTAAATACATTTAAAGTGGTGAAAATGTAGCAAATTTTAAAAAATGGGGGAGTAGCAAATTTTAAATATATTTTATTTAAATAGTAAAGTCTAAAACTAGTATTTTACCTACGTGATGCACGAGAAAATATCGCACATAAAATATATGTCTCATATGAAAAAGTAAGTTTTTGACATATAGAAATAATAAATTTAATAACTTCTCATATACAAATTAGATCATCATAATTTGATGAAATAATATGAACTAAGAATATAAATGAATACCTGAGAATTTATAAATGTCTATAAATTCTGAAATACTTCATTAAGTACAACATTGTTTGTTACATTGGTACTTTTGGCATCTTTTCAGTATAAGTATTTTCAAACAACTAAAATTAGTGACACGTGAAAGAGCAACATAGACTTGATCATGACTGAAAATTGATTTTTTAAAATTATTCTGACATTGGATAACGATTTGTCATTGACGCTTATTTATTGTCATCGCATATGTGTCAATTAAAGGAAATTGTTTTCTTTCAAATTTGAAAGGCAATATCAAATCAGATGGTGTCAAAGACATTCTAGATATTTATATCTTTTCATCTACACTTAATCCTGTAAGGACTTTTGCTTCTAATATTTGTTTACCCAATCTGGTAATAATCATCCTAGTATCATTACACAACCCTTGAAAATGGTCTAGGTTTCTCATTAGCATCACCGTTGTTCCAACTTTAAGATGGAGTTGATGATTTGGAATTTCTGAAACTTTAATTCCATTTAAAAATCCTAGAGTATGGATATTTGTTAGGAATCAAGATTTAAATCTAATTTGCACGGATTATCAAAACTAGATGTGTTTTCATCTCAGAACCATTTAAGAAAAGCATGTAATCGTTGATGGAATAAACAACTTCAAGGGTTGGCGTCAATATTGCTCTCTTCTTCAAACAACTGGGATCATTGTGAGCGTCATCGGGGAAAGGTAAATGCATTCAGCCATTGTAACACCCCCCCCCCCACCCCCCCATTCATACCCAAATAGATGTTATTTATAACACGTACAAAAAGAATTTTCCAAAATATTTAAATTAAAAAGAGTCTCAATTACCACGAAATAAAATAGCCATTAGGTGTTACCGCCACATTCGTCTATCTCCCAATTGAATGCACAGGCTAAACCACAATCCAAAAATAATCCAAGCATTTAAAGATTTAAATCTCAAAACAATTTAATTGTCTACATGTTCTCGAAATTGAATTAGCAAGTAACTACAGGGATGAATGCTAATAAACTATGTGATCTAACGCAGCTCTCATCAATAAGCATAATCATCATCACCTGCACCAAATAAAGTGCAGAAAACAAAACAAAAATAAAAGGGACAAAAGTTAGCTTTTTAGCTAAGTAAGACTCACTCAACCCCCATAAAATAATATAATTTGTCAAAATAGTTTTTATACATAAGTATAGTTCAAAACAAGTAGCTTTGCAAAATACTTCACTTGTCTAAAAAAATATTTGTCACTAAAATGCTAGTAATTTCCAAAGATGTCATATCTTAGTCAAAACATCCAGAATCAATTCATACTCAACTTTAAAATAATACTACGTATATAATACAATAACGACGTAGTAAAATACTTTTTTGAAAACATGTTCATTCTTAGGTATACCGTATATCTGAGAGTCAAAAAGTTTCTCACGTCTCAATTAATTCTCAAGTGATGAGCAAAACTCAAGATTCCTCGAACCTAGTGAGCACGTGGGTTGACCCCACGACTCACCCCGCAATTGCAGATCTCATCGGTCACAAATAAAAGGAAGCTAGACATCCACCTTAAGTGTGTACACCATCTAAAAGGGATACCAAGCCCTCCGAATAGTAAGAAGCTATGAAGCACGAGTATCAGATAATCTAGAATACTCGTGCCGTACGTTCCCGGGCCGTGTCTGCCATTTTCAAAAGTTTCCAATATTTTTGGTAATTATTTTAAAATTTCGGATACCCGTGTCCTGACGGATACACGTATCAATTTTTTTTTATAAAAAACACCCAAAATTTACACATTAAAAATTTTTAAAAATGGAAAACAAAAAATAAGTTTCACATTCTCCAAGATGTTTTAGTGCAAATTTTGTATCAGAACTCTTAGTTTTTATATCAGAGTATTGTTTTTATCTCTTTTATCCAAGAATTTTGAATACTTGCACATTTAAATTCAAAATTGTGATTGTTTGACTTCCTTCTCATTTTAAAATAATAATAACTTATTGACTATATTTATATTTCGAGATTCACTAGTGTATATGAGATAAAATATGAATTTATTTCTAACTATTTTGATAATGTGAAATGTCTGAATGTCATGAATGGGCAATGGTGAGATGATAATATGTACGAAGTATATATTTTAAAAAAATCTTATCAGTTTTAATATTTATAAATAAAACCCCATAATTTTTAATATTTATTATACACCCCCATAACTTTTAGTATTTATAAATATATCCTTATACCTGTATCCTACTTTTTTTGGTTTTATCGTATCCCCGTACCCGTTTCCGCGTTTTTGCGTATCTATAGCGATGTTACATAGGTAAGAAGCCTAAGTAACCAGGATATGTTTCTACAAACCACTCACAAAGCAAATTAGGAACTACTACTACTGTCACAAAAGAAAAGGATGACTACATCCTAATGTTCGGGATGTACCAAATCACTCACAAAGTCTCAAACAATTCACACCAAAAAGGTAGTAGCAGTCCTAACTGCAACAAGCCAGTTGCGCATGGTCCGAGTTAGTTACTACAGACTTCTCTAGACTTCAAGTATTGTCCTCACAAAGCACCACTAATCTTTTATCGTGCACTTACTCATGCACTCCTTGATAAACTTCATAGGGGGTCACCAATCCCAAGACTACTATCGTGCAAGCACGCTTAACTTGGAGTTCTTAGGTCATATACTCCTCAAAAGAACATGCACCTTGTTACTATGAGTGACGCTATTAATCTCTTTAAACTAATCTCAAGTATTACAATCACCCCCCACTTAGGATCGCAACATCCTCATTGCGCCCACATGTCAATTGAATCTCAATCATATCTCGTAATCTCTCCCCGCTAAGTGTCCTTCCGTATTCACCATGAATTCAACCAAATAAAAAAAATTAACATTCAAAAGTAAATAGTATATATAATCCAAGTGCATCTACACTACAATCATCAAACATCATAAACTTCATAATCATCACATGTTCACATAATGGGGAAATTGATGAAACACACAAAGTATAAAATTCAGCGAAAGCTAAGTAAGTATTACTCAACCTCGTAAACTAATATAATTTGTCAAAAATAGTTCCTTGTACTGCCATATAGCTTCAAAATTCCATTTACTTCCCAAAATACACTATATTATGTTTAGAACATCATTTATCATCCAAAAAAACTTTATAATTTGAAAGTTAAAAATAATTTTTATAAGCTTTAAATAATACATATCTCCAAAATCAATGGTACTCCTACATTCTTTTAAGACGGGCGAAATTCAAAATTCATCGTGCCTGATGAGTCATTACTGTCTACGGACTCACCCCGCAAGTGCGGCTGCCAACGACCACCAATTAAAAACAGAACTTCACCCTTAAGTGTGCATACCCCCTAAAAAGGATTACAAGCCCTCCGAGTAGTAAGAAGTCGAAGTAGTCCGGATTATAGCCCCCTTACCTCACAATGGGTTAGATACCCGGATAATTACGAAATACTACCGCGACGACCAAAGAACTTTTGAAGTGTCCTCAAAAGAAATACCGGGATTGCTCCTGCCACCAAAATTACCGAGATTTCTCCCGCCACCAAGAATTACCGGGATTTTTTCCACCACCAAAAATCAAAGGAACCTAACTAAAATCGCGGTATATAGCCCTAACCACCCACAGCTCGTGTTTCTCATCATTATGAAAACGTTATTCATTTTTTCAGAAAGTCATTTATCTCTAAAGTCATCCAAAATATCTTTTCAATAGATACGTCCACCAAAAATTCTTTTTCATTTACACTCCGAAATTCTTTTACATAAGAATTAACCCCAAAATCATGCTAGGGATTAAATCCCATAAATGCATCTTGAATACTTCTCAAATTCTCCAAAGTAGTCTCAATGATATTTAAAATATATTTAATACTCCAAAGTACTCAATTCATATTTCTCAAGATAATATAAATTTAATATCACTCCAAATAATACATATACATAATCCAAAAATCACAGTTTAATCACATAGCACATAATCATATAATATGAGGAAAAATGATAATTTGGTTGGCAGAGAAACTTAATTGACGCTCATAAATCCTAATTCTCCTCTTCTATTCCGGTCTCTAAATAATCACCTCTACTGGACAACAGACAGGTGTAAAGGACGCGGTTGTTCGGCGACAGAGACCTAAGGCTGTGACTGGCAGGCGGCGGCGGCTCTCCTTCCTCGCATTTCAGTTTTGAAGATTCACTAGGCGGAACTCTGGTGATCTTGTTCTCCCTCATTTCATGATCGTTTTCAGTGATTCTTATTCCGTTAGATTCCTCTCACGAAGCAGAAGGTTTTAATGTGATTTTTGGCTTCGGGTTTTGGGTAATAGGTTAAAAGTTTTTGTATTTTTAAAGGGAACGATTTTATTCATAAAAATAGAAAGAACAATACAAAGGAAATAAAAACACATAGATAAAGGGAAATCTTTGGATTGTGATTTAGTTCAGGCTGTCTGTTGGCAGTCAGTTTCGGAGGTGACAAACTTTGCTTTTCGGAAAATCATTCTGTTGAATTTAGGATTTCTAATTTCT